GGGATGCTTCAACCCATAGTTTATCACTACAACACTCTCATAAAATCCTCTACAGCACCATTCTTGGGATTGCTTAATCCCACGGTTGATTACCACAACCCTTTCATAAATTCCTCTATTGCACCATACTTGTGACTGCTTCAACTCATAGTTGATTACCACGACCCTTTCATGAAATATTCTACTGTAACATCCCCGGGGATTGCTTCAACTCGTAGTTTATCACTACAACCCATTCATAAAATCCTCTACCACACCATTTTTGGGATTGCTTCACACCGTAGCTGATCACCACAACCCTTTCATAAAATCCTTTACCACACCATCCTTGGGATTGCTTCAACCCACAGTTGATCACCACAACACATTCATAAAGTCGTCTACCGCACCATTCTTGGGATTGCTTCAACCCACAGTTGAGTACCACAACCCTTTCATAAAATCTTCTACAGCACCATCTTTGGAATTGCTACAACCAGCAGTTGATGGCCACAACCCTTTCATAAAATCCTCTACAGCACCATTCTTGGGATTGCTTCAACCCGTAGTTTATCACCACAACCCATTCATGAAATCCTCTACCACACCATTCTTGGGATTGCTTCAACCCGTAGCTGATCACCACAACCCTTTCATAAAATCCTTTACCGCACCATCCTTGGAATTGCTTCAACCCACAGTTGATTACCACAACACTTTCATAAAGTCGTCTACTGCACCATTCTTGGGATTGCTTCAACCCACAGTTGATCACCACAACCCTTTCATAAAATCTTCTACCGCACCATCCTTGTGATTGCTTCAACCCACAGTTGATCACCACAACCCTTTCATAAAATCCTTTACTGCACAAGTCTTGGGATTGCTTCAACCTATAGTTGATCACCGCAACCCTTTCATAAAATCCTCTACTGCACAATTCTTAAGATTGCTTCAACCCATAGTTGATCACCACAACCCTTTCATAAAATCTTCTACAGCACCATCTTTGGAATTGCTTCAACCAACAGTTGATGACCACAACCCTTTCATAAAATCCTCTACAGCACCATTCTTGGGATTGCTTCAACCCATAGTTGAGTACCACAACCCTTTCATAAAATCTTCTACAGCACCATCTTTGGAATTGCTTCAACCAACAGTTGACCACAACCTTTCATAAAATCCTCTACCGCACCTTCCTTGGCATTGCTTCAACCAATAGTTTATCACCACGACCCGTTCATAAAATCCTCTACCGCACCATCATTGGGATTGCTCCCACCCATAGTTGATTATTTCGACCCTTTCATAAAATCCTCTACAGCACCATTCTTAGGATTGCTTCATCCCATAGTTGATCACCACAACCCTTTCATAAAATCCTCTACTGCACCATCATTGGGATTGCTCCCACCCATAGTTGATCATTTCGAACCTTTCATAAAATCATCTAGAGCACCATCTTTGGAATTGCTTCAACCAACAGTTGTTGACCACAACCTTTCATAAAATCCTCTATCGCACCTTCTTTGGGATTGCTTCAACCAATAGTTTATCACCACGACCCGTTCATAAAATCCTCTACCGCACCATCATTGGGATGCTGCCACCCATAGTGATCATTTTGACCCTTTCATAAAATTCTCTACAGCACCATTCTTGGGATTTCTTGTGGCAGAAGAATAGAAAGAATTAGTTTGATGCTGCAAACGAAAGTTGGTATTACCCCCAGGGGCCATGATATAATTGGACTGAGCTTGATCCGATTTCTTAGCAGTCTCCTCACAAAACCATGTACTGAGTTTGAGGATAGTCTGATAAACAGCTCTGGTGTCACTGACATGTTTCGACCAGAGATTGATGGAATTTGTTATCATTGAATCTCTTTCAAATGTGAGATGGTGTGTCCGAGATATAGTTGTGATTCCCTCTGAAGTGCTTGCATTAGAGAATGATTTTCGATCTCCACACCAGAAGAGTATGTTTACTGCCAAGGTATGTATGTACAATATGTATGTATAATATCAAAGCAACCTTACTTTTTTACCAAAATATCCTATTCCAGTTCTCGGAATATTAGATTCATGCATGTCAGTGATATATGAATGTTAAACTTATTAAAATGAGGTCCCATGACTATATATGGTCATCTTATATTTCAATCAGATCACATGTTCCTTCACTTCACTATAATAGTGGTTGCAGGTTCCCATCTTGCAACAGTGCTTGAGATATAACAGTTAAGCATATTAACAAGGTCGGTGACCATATATGGTCATGAGATATATTTATCATATCTGTTGTCAAATGCCTTTATTATAGTGCTTGTCCCTAGTGCATATTAATGAGGTCACATGACCATATATGGTCATCTGGTATTTCAGACAATTGTTCCTTCCCTTTACTACACCACTGGTTACAAATACCTAACTGCAACAGTGCTTGATATATATATTGATATATAATTTGTTAGTGCGAGTTCTCCAATAGATGAGTTGTATATGTGTGTGTAGGTGTATATATATAATACTTTATTTTATTGAGGCGATTAAAGTCACGCCTGTAACTTTCGCATTGTAACCTGTTCCCCCAGGTTAGTGGGGTATATTTCTTTAGAGAAATATAAATAAAATAATAATAATATATTATGCATATAAATGAGGTCATACAACTATATATGGTCATCTGGTATTTTAGACATTTGTTCCTTCCCTTTACTACACCACTGGTTACAAATACCTAACTGCAACAGTGCTTGATTTATATTATGCATATAAATGAGGTCATACAACTATATATGGTCATCTGGTATTTTAGTCAGATCTTTTGTTTAACATAATAATGCAAATTTTTACCTACCTACCTGCAACAGTGCTTGAGATATAACAGTTATACATAATAATGAAGTTAGAAGCCCCCATCCCATTGGTGCCCAGCCACATGACCTAGCCACGTGTCATTCAGGTGATGTATCTCAAGAGTAGAATGCACATACAAAATTTGACCCCAATCGAACCAATATAACATGTGTAATTGCACAATTTCCATTATATTATTTTTCTCATATCAAGCCATGATCAGACATGTTATATACAAAACAGAAAGTTGATGGTTGAAGCAACTCTATGAAACAGAAGCCCAAACATTTGGTCAATTTTGCCTAAAATCCAAGATACTGTAGAATACTTTATTTTCGCTTGGAATTTATTTTCGCTATTTTCGCTGAAGACATGATTCCGTGAAAATAAAATCCAGCGAATATACTTTTTTTCCTATATTTCCTATTAAACTCATCAAAAATCAGTGAAAATAAATTCTAAGCAAAACGCCAAAAGCCTTTTCAGTGAAAATTAATTCCAGTGAAAATAAAGTATTCCACAGTAGTGGCCAAAGCACGCGACCAATCAAAACAAATTTCACAAACTTAAATGTGTTTCATTTATAGATGCTAAATACCATATTTGAAAGCATTTTGCTTGGTAGTTCTGAAAAGAATGATTTTCAAGCGTTTGTATCGTTTGGGGGGGGGGACATGGCGGAAAAGATTTTATTGCCACTATATATTACATACAAGTTATATTATATGCCATAAAAAAGAATCTGACTGCCTGACCCTCAGAAAGTGGTCAATCCAATTCAAACTAACATGATATCTAGGTCTATTTAAAGATACCCAGGTATACAACTTCACATGGGTATCTTTCCATAAACAGAGTTTTGTGACTGTAGCATTGGTAGTTTTTGAGTTACAGGAGCCACAAAAAAAGTGAATAATCAGAACAGAAACAAATAGTGGTTCCCAGCCACTGCTGAACTGAACAAATAAGTACCTGAGGTACTTACATGTACCCCAAGCATAATATCAAAGCAAGTGTACTTCCAGGATATTGATTATCCGACATCATGTTTATGTATTATGCAAATTCCCTCTGGCACAAGTGACCTTTGAATGTGTATCAACAGTAATCAGTTAAGATTTATCATCAGATTTTCACTATTTTTCAATTTTTGCATGATATTTTCACACAGAACATCCGTCGTTCACACTAAAGAAGGATTTTATACTAATGAATTAGATGACCAAGTTTGATACAGTTTGGAATAGAATTTAAAAAGTTGTGTACACATTAACAATTATTAACGATGATGACACCCCCCCCCCCTCACTCAAGGAGATGCAATCAACTATAAGATTTTGTTTACTTATACACAACAGCTACAAAACTTGTCGGTAAACCTAGTGTACGTAGTTATGAATAAAAACATATGGATACCTGAACACAACTCAGATACAAATTTGAAAGATTTCTCAGAAATCTTTTTCTATCTCAGAAAGACTTTAGGCACCCACAACGAGGGCCCTCACTCATCTTTCCTCAAAATTATTGTACCAGGTGTTAAAGGCCTTATCAATAACGGTCCACATTTGTATCATAGACACCAGATAACTGACTTGATGTGGAATGTGCGTGAAGACTCTCAAAGCAATCAATTCTGCCGAATTATCATGCAGGTAATCGTAAAAAAATTCAAATGTAAACGATGCAACTTTTCAGCATTTGTACATAAAGCTTACAAACTACACAGAATGGTAGGCCTAACTGGACTTTGAACATGCATACTTGTTTATTTACATTTGTATGCAAGATCAGCTTTTAGGAGCAAAATACTGAAAAATACTTTAAATTCACTTGGAAATAATTCAGTGAAAATAAAATTCAGCAAATATACCTTTTTCCCTATATTTTACATTCAACTCATCAAAAATCAAAAAAATAATTCCATACAAAACACCCAAAAAAGTCTTTTCAGCAAAAATTAGTTCCAGCTAAGTATTTTACAGTAAATATACAACAAAATGCATACAACACTTGTAAGATTTAATTTCCTTTATTTCAAAATTTCTAATTGATGAGATTGTGTGGCTCAAGAAAACCGCCAGAATCAGAGCTGACAGTCAACAATATAATCCTAAACTTTCACATACAAACTCCAATTACAAAAATAAGTAATCTTGACAAAGTATTAAATATCTAAGAAAATATTTGAAAAAAAAATCTACAACACTAACATCAGAATTTACTTTCAATGAAGAAAGTTTTACTGCAAGTGCTTTTTGAATGGAAAGCACGGTCAAACACTTATAAAATGAACAGAAAACGTAGAGGTCTAACAGAAACTGGGTTTCATTACAAGAAAGCCATAGCGAATAGACAGAATTGGGTGTTAAATTATAAAAGATAATAGTACACTACCTAGTTTTACAATCTCTAGCTTGACTGGGAAAATCGACATTACACAGATCTTTCAGCTGCACACAGTATGCTAGAGTGTATGGCCAATATACGGGAACTGATGTTGCAAAAATTTAGATACAAAGTTTGGATTTAGACATATTCATTACATTTCAGTTAAAACTGAGGAAATTAGACTGCATTGCAATATGTCCACTTTATATATATATATAAGTGATAATAAATTATTTCTATCAGACATGCAGTACATGGGGTTTTACAAAAATTCATTTTATTTATCTCTGAAAAGTTCAAAAACCAAATTTTAAACAAAAAAACCCAAAACTTTAATGTTTGAAGAATAAAAAGTGATGAAACTTAAATTCAACTTTCAAACTAACTTGTCTGTGCCTTTGTTATAATTCCAAATCAGAAACTTGTACAATTGGTAAACCATCAAAATAAATGCTTCATTATGATCTTTCTTTCAAGTGTACTATGCTTGGAATAGTGAAAATGAGAGTACAATAAAACCATATGGGACAATCAATTTTTTTAATAACTTAGACCGAGAGATATTTTATGCACACTTAATAAAGTAAATAACCATTGATATCTACCACATTTCCCAATCTTTCAAACATGCCATGTAACAGTGCATTAGACAATGCCAATGTAAGGGTCAAAATTAAAAGTGGTTGACCATTTTTGAGATCCACATGCATACAATTGTTCAATACCCATTTGAATGCCAAAAATCATCTTGCACAAGTTTTAGGAACACATTTTTTATGATTTTGCTTTTCAACAACTGTACTTATTTTTCTTCAAAAAATGTGCCTGTACTACAATGATTTTATTTTCATGGTAGTCCTAATGGGCAACTTATTTTCATATATGGTTGCCAGGACAACTGCCAATTGTTATGACTGTAATATACACATCACCATCTCCACAGTCAAGCACATGAAGAACAGATTGATAAAAATATTAAATAGTGGATTATAAAAATACAGGATATCTGAGTTGTCTCCTTCTAGTCTGTCCTGTAAAACATTTCACAAAAGTTTGGATATGAATGAATAGTATATCAATGTCCTTACAAGCCTGTTCATATATGAACAGTAGTTTGTTTTAACCTTTTCACCACCAAATTTTTTTTTTCCATGTATTCTTCAATATTTCTGGAAATGAACCCTAATTTTGGTCAAAATTTGAGTAAATTTTTGGTTATAACAATTTTGGGTATTTTTGTCCTAATCTTCTGAAAGAAAGTGCAGACTATAAACGGGACTGTTTTGTGAATTTGTAATGAAAAGAAAGAACTGGTGGTGAAAACGTTAAAAGAATTCATTTTGTTCATAAATAAATTAGTACAGTAGATAATCCAAAAGGAAATACCAACTAATGAAAAAAGTATTAAGTTTTGTATTGCGACATCACACACATCACTTTTGTGTGCTATTTTGAGTATTGGTGTAGTGTGTCTCGTCAGGTATGTCAACTCAACCTTTAATGTTAAGCATTGAATAACCCAAATGAAAACAGGTTTTTTCCAGATTGAAAAAGGCATGTTTTTTTGTTGTTTTATTTTTTAGCTTAGTTGCACTTCTTTAAGCAAGAATATTTTAGCAAATTCAGTGCAATTGTATAGCTGCGAATTGTAAGGATCTGCATTCCTGACTGTCTGTCTGTCAACCATTTTGGATTTGGATGTTCAATGCTCAGTCAGCAAATATTCTATTTATTCAATGAAGCAGTTTAGAACAATAATCACAAGAATTTGCTGCAATGGCAAGTTGGTATTTCTGAATGTTTTATAGCAATGCAATTAGAATGTACAGAATTAAACAAATCAGTTCATATACTTAACAGCCAATGATCAGTCCTGTAATAGATATGCAACTATCCCACCATAGCATAAAAAATACACTAAATATGAGCTAAATTAAAAAGAATAGACATGTAAAACACTATATTGAAAGAGAAATATACAGCTAGCACAACACAAGTAATAAATACAATTATCAATTAGAACTTTAATTCTACAAATGTATCTGTCCCAGTGAAATCATCATATGCATAATTGAGGTTAAGTGAATTATTTATAAATATCAATAAATATAATGCATTCAAATAATGCATTTCCGGATCTTAAATTAGGATTAATAATCCATGACTTCCAGTTTAGAATTGTCTTGATGAATCATTCACTTGTTCATATAACGAAGGAATCATTTTGACCAACTCAACCAAGAATTAACAACAATACACAGAATGTACGTTCTATTTTTCTGTTCTGATTGTTCGAGTAAATTAAAAATAATGCATACAGGCATCAGAAACACTGCGGTAATATTTTTAGGTATTTCTTTCTAAGAGAACAATAACATTCAAGTTTGTTGTTTTGTTTATGCAACTAGCAAGTGCTTCTATTGTTGCTATACCACAGATACAAACGAGTAAAAATGTACACTGAAACCAATCAAGTTCAAACACCAAAGGGGCAGACAATTATTTTTCAGCCTATGGAAATAAAAAGTTGCTCAGTTTATACAAGCATTGGTTAAGACACTTTAAACTGTACAAGAGTGAGGCTGGTTGCTGCTTAGGAGATATTTCATCTTCTGTGATAATTTATTACAAACATGGCAAAAACTACATTAAACATCAAATGAAGAAACTGGTAGAAATGGTACATAACTAACAATTTGCAATAAACAAACACTAGATAACTGAAATACTACAGATAAAAGTTTTACAAGAACAGGTCTTGATATCTAGCATGTTGCATTCATTAGATGAAATTACTAAATTTGAAATAGACCCAAGTTTATTTTTTTACAAGAAAGATAGTACCTCAGTTGAATCAGGATTCTGGTAATCCAAACATTCCATATTTTATGTTTTCTATGCACATGATCAGCTTCAATACCATATTTATTTTGTGAATCTCTGATAGAAACGCACATGAACCAGTCACTGGACTTACTGTGGAATACTTTATTTTCGCTGGAATTAATTTTCGCTGACAAGGCTTTTTAGGCGTTTTGTATGGAATTTATTTTCACTTATTTTTGATGAATTTAATGTGAAATATAGGGAAAAAAGTATATTCGCTGGATTTTATTTTCACTGAATCATCCCTTCAGCGAAAATAAATTCCAAGCGAAAATAAAGTATTCTACAGTACTGTATACTGGATTGTTAACATATGACTTATTTTGAGCATAGACATTGTCACTTTCATAAATAAATGAAATACAGTACTTGTTTTATGAATACACATTTTACTCGGCTATGATCACACTGAACATTTTTTTTATGCATGTATGTCACTTTTAGAATTACAAATTATTGATCTGACTGACAATCTTTGAATTTTTAACTAAAGTTGATGCAAGAATATTTACAATACAACTCAAGTTAATTTATTAGTATGATAGTTACAAGGAATGAAAAGGACAGAAAGAATTGAATCACCCACAACTAAGGTATGGGGATCATAATTAAGTATTCACATTGAACAGAGAATGTATTAACTGAGTTAATAATATAAAATACCCACGACTCAGATATCCTGCATTGCTGCCTTGAACATGATGAGGATGAAACTGATGAACTTTCCATTAACTTAATAACAATATTAAGTTTAAACTATAATACAAAAGAAAAGAAAAGAGAAAGAAAAGGTTATGTAATGTAATGATTGTTAGTCTTCAATAGTAATTATATCAGCTTTTTTACATTTAGACTTGCCGTCAGTTGTTATACCACCTGTTTTGGTAGCACCTGTGAACATGATGAAAACAATGCACATAAGATATTGAAACAAAAGAGTAAACTTATTGTTCCACAATGTCTTATTACGAGAACGCAATGAGATGGAAAACAATGTAGCAAATGTTTTGAAATAGCACTGCTACAGAAACTGATCAAGTCTCTCAGGGTTCAACTCATGTTTACAAAACAATGTCTGAACTAACTTAGAAAACATCATAAAGAAATAACTGTGCGCGACAGAAATTTAGAAGCCTACTCATAAATTAAAATACCCAGAATTTATTCATTTTGAAATATACTCCAAGGCAATATAAGGATATTGACTTACAAAAAGTTGGGGGTAACCAGCTTAATTTTCGAGAAATTGATGGTTGTATTTTAGTGGAAAGTCGCCATTTTAGCACTACTATAATTGCGTTCACCATAGACTCCTATGGCAGAGATGATATGCCGTATTTCAAAATCTGGCCTGGTGACATAAGCTGAAAAAATCATATATTGTTAATGATGGAGTACTTTTTGTTATCCTGAACTATTTAAAAAATCTGGGTTTTAAAAAGTGTCGAAAATGAAATTTTTCTTTAACATTATTGTTCTATGGATTGTGCTAAAAATAGCGATTTACAAGAAATTTTAGAACACATTTCTCAAAAAGCTTAACTGTAACACACAAAATATTGCTATTTCATTGTACCATGAGACATTAGCTTCATAACTGTACATAATAAACTAATGAACATTACAATTTATGACCAATTGTCAAAAATTATGAGTAGGCTTCTCCCTTAAAAGTGGCTAAGTACCTGATTTTGATACCAACATCCATTAGTATAGATCTGACTGGTACAGTGATCCAAGTCATAATTTTTCATAAAACTGAGCAAGACTGCTTAAAAGTGATTAAGTACCTGACTTTTCTTGAGATGTACTCTCTGTTTTTGAACCCTGTGATGAACTAGATGATGCTTTACTTGATTGCTGAGTAGGAATGACTGTAACGGACAAAATAAAGTGATCAAATTAATAAACGATATGCCAAAGGTCAGAAAATTTTATTTTAAGCTTATTTTATAGTGATCCTTCATGAAATCTCAAATATGATGTACAAATCTCACTCACTCACTCACTCACTCACTCAATGTCCATTTTACTTGTTTATATTATATCACATTCACAACCTCATTAATTCCTCTCACTGACTTTACTTAGAACTTAATTTGCTTATGACTGTATTGTCACTATCTAACTTACTTACAGTCAATGTCTCATTATATTAACTAACCAACAAACACCCCGACACACTCGTTCATTTATTTGCTCGCTATTAAGCAGACACATCAAATTATTATAACGCACAAACAAAAATAAATAATTACCTGTACTAGAGATTGCACTTGAGGCATTACTTAACATTGTACTATAATAATTACTAGATGAAGAAGGCTGGGTTTGTGTTTGTGTCACTGGTGTTGTCGTTGTCGCAGACGCTGTTCTGTTAGCTGTTAAATGCTGTTGTCCTGGTCTTGCACCTGAGGTTGGCACTGGTATGCTACCCTGCACATACTGTTGAACTACACCTAAATAAAGCAAGACCATAGACAGAAAATTACTATGTTTCTGTTTTAAAGTGAAATACTTCCAGAGAACACATTAGGCTTCACTAAAAAAAAGTTTTCAAAATACATGCATACACATTCATTCTGAAATTTATTTAAACTTTTCTTAAATTCTGGCAAAAAAAACTGGATGGGTTAATGCCCCCCCCCCCCTAAATACGCTAGTTGGTGGTTGGTGCAGCGTTTAGTTAAAAATGTTTCTTTGGTACACTTGTTAATTTATTTTAGAAATTTTTACCAGTGTTGCCTTTGTTGTTAATGAGGTCACATGACCATATATGGTCATTTGATATGTTACCATGCCGGGCCTTGTCTGCAAGTGCTCGAGATATTGTACTTATGCATATTAATGAGGTCACGAAAACTATTTATACAAGGTGGGTAATTAATATACATGGATTTAACCGTAAAGTAATCAGATCTGTGGATCATTTAAAAGCACCTATGTATCACATTTTATTGAAATTTGATGAGTGGTAATTTTGCAACACATATATATATATATATTGGTTAATTTGTGCAAATTAGGTAATTAGTAAGCACATAATTTAACCTTAAACTTTCATCAAAATCTGATGAGTAACTGAGATATTGGTGGAAAAGCTAACAATTGACTAATTAGTATGCAAATTAGGTTATTAATATGCACAGATTTCAACCAAAAACTAATCAGGTCATGAGATTTCAACCAAAAAATAATTATTCCTGCGCATCTATGTACCAAGTTTCCTTAAAATCAGATAATTGGTTTTTGAGATATCAGTGGAACAGACACGCACACACATGCATACACACACACAAACTCACTACTCGAAAGGACTCCCATTGTGTGCTTCACACACAGGAAACAAAATTAATCTGTGGGTACATATATCCAAATATAATAGCTGTGCATACCTTGTTGGTACGGATTTGCTTGTAATCCAGCACCGTACTGAGCAGCAGTGAATTGGGCAGTAGGTCTATAACTTGAAAACCCGGTAGCAAAACTACCTCCAAAATTACTAGCACTGTTGTAACCTGCATATGGATTCTGAGAAGCAGCATAGAATGCCTGCGCCTGTGCTTGTGCTTGAGCCTGTCCTGCCTGCTAAAAAGAAAATAATTGGTATATTATAATAAATTGGTATTAAAAGAATTAAATACCACATTTGCAGTGTATAAGGCCAGACTTTTTTTATTCCCCGTTTCTTGAGTTTTTATAAGGCAATTTTTTTGAGCAGGGCGAAAATAAAAAATTAATTCTTTTTTTCCCATTAGATTTGTGTGATTCTCAAAGAATTGTAAGTGAGATCATTGATCGGAGAGAAGAAATGAAATAAAATTTTATTCTATGTATAACCTTGTTTCTCATCTGCTTGAGACTTCGGTACTTTGATTATGATACACCCACGAAAATGCAACTTTGGTTTGTTATGCGGTGGGCGGAAAAAAAATGAAGATAAAAATAAGTTGTTTTGAGCAATTTTTTACCACTTACAAGAAGGCAGGCGCGAGAAATTACGCTGAAATAAAATTTTATTTTTATTTCATTTTCGTCTTCTGTTCATTCGGGGGTTCGCAAAACAGGGGATAATTTTTTTTTTTAGATGTTTTCTTGCCAGGCGACAGTTCCGAACATTGAATGTCACTGTTGTCTCTCCTGACTTTTTTCTATTTTGTAAGTGCAAATTGCAAGTGCTAGTGCTAACACATAGTGCATCTTTGCCACAGAAGTCATATTCATGTTTGGGACTACATGACAGGGCTGTGTGGCCATCTCCCTATCAAATGGAAATTTTAATGCGCTATCCTGGCGTCAACCAGGCTTGGTTGAACACAAGCACCTGCGGATCTTAACCAAGGTTCCCCCAAAGTCGCATTCGTTAGTGAATGAATCTCGGCCAGTGAAATTGGCCTTCCCATTGAGTCTGTAGCACACTCACCCAGGGTAGGGGTCGACCCTTTTGATGTTCAGCCTGGGGTAGGATTTGAACTTGGGTCTACCGATCATGAGTCTGGAGCGACAACCACCATGCTACCAGTGACCAGAAAACAAGGGATAATAAAAGTCTGGCCTAAGCTTACATAAATTATAGAGTTGTTTCAATGGTCAAAATGTTTTAATGATTCAATAGAAAAATGTTATAACAGAGCAAATAGTATAAAACCAGTATGCTTTTCTGAAAGATTAGAAACATTTCAAGTCAAACACGTAATTCAAGTGTGGTCCAGGAATGAAATGATTAGGTTAATAATTGATGAAGCAAAATCTTTTTTCATTAGCCTTAGGATTCGTCTGATTGTTTTTTCTGGTATGCTTGCATATTTAATAGCGAGTATTGTTGTGCATGTTCATAACATGGCAAATTGTTATTTCCATATTTGAATCTTTCCATAAGTATACCATTTTGTTTACTGCAAAATCAAATTATTAAATTTTTTGGTTCATGTTGTTGCTGCATTACACAAGATCTTGCAGAAAACAAGATACTGTGAAATACTTTATTTTCGCTGGAATTAATTTTCGCTGAAAAGGCTTTTTGGTCATTTTGTATGGAATTTTTTTTCATTGATTTTTTGATGAGTTTAATATGAAATATAGTAAAAAAAAGTATATTCATTGGATTTTATTTTCACGGAATCATCCCTTCAGCGAAAATAAATTCCAAGCGAAAATAAAGTATTCTACAGTAATAAACTATTACAAGATGTACAAGTACTCGTGCAGAAATGAGTAATCCACACAATCAGAAAGTTTGAGAATTCACATTACACCATTTGTACATGGTTGTGAATGTTGCATACCTGTATTTACACCATGTTTCCATTAGAAAGTCCCACTTATACGTAAATTGTACGCTTACCTGAGCTGCTTGTCCCTCTCTGTTAGCAGCTAGTCTGCTAAGTATACTACGTTCTGACATCTGTAGCCGGGCAGCAACAGGTGGAATACGCGATAGCGTGGCAGGTAATCTAGCAACATCTGATTTCATATCACTCAATAATTCTTCCAACTGATTTAAAACTAAGAAAAAATACAAAATGAACTGTTATCACGAACAATAATAAAATATTCGTCAAAAAACTGTCTCCAGAGACTCCTGCAAGCAAAACTAAGCAAAATTTACAGTTTGTGTAGTTTTGTTAGTAAACCAGCTTTTAAGATTTTTACGGCTATCTACATCAAGTCTTAACCAAAACCACCCTTAACCAAAAACAGTTTTTAAGTTTGACTTGATGTATTGTTTGACACATGCACACTTACAATGGAAATCATGAGTATGAATTTTGACATGGGCGTACATGCACTAATTACTGCCTGTGACTCTTTTGATACCTTCAATCAACAACAAAATTATGTAGTTAAAGCTTCGTCATGCATCAGTTTGAACCCGTTGATCAGTGCAAGTGGGCATCTTTGTTCCTATGAGACTCGTACTTTGCGTATGCTTTAAATAAGGATTTGTACAAAATTGATATCCAGTGGAATATCACATGCACCCCCATTGAGCATGTACATCATCATCATCAGAGTTGTCCATGTTCTTGCCTTCAGTACTGCATAACAACATCTAAATCATCAGTCACTGTACCAGCAGATGAAATAAAGTTACCTTTTTGTAAGACTGCATTCGCAGGTTTATTACCAGCCAGTGATTCTTTGGATAAATGTTGATGGCTTTCCGCTAAGCATTCAACTTCAGCAAACCTAGCATTGAGTGCCATCGCAGGATGATTAGGATCTTGCGTCATGTTGAGGTAAGCTGCTCTTCGAAGCTGTTCTTCAATCACAAGTGCTTGTTCTAGGAGCTTTAAGTAAACAGGCAATGGTTTCACATTACATATATGCCAGACAACAGTTCCTGACAGAATGTAACTGCTGTCTGACACAAATTTCTAATTACTGATGTATAAGCCAAGCTTGAACAGGCTTACACAAATCTATACGCAATGCAATTTTATGAAAAATTTGCCTTAAAAATGAGTGATCTCAAAACATTTAGTCTTGCACAAGTATATATACTCTATATTGCCACAGACACAACACCCGTTTACAAAGTTGCATGCATTAGTGAATAAATTTAACATAAAATTCATATTACAGTACATTTCAGCAAGCTAAGATTACTCATCAATAAGTCCAATATCCACTGTGTTAATTTTAGTGGATTTAATGTTGCAAGAATATTCACTAGTTTTTAAACTTAACTGGTTTGTGATGGCAACAACACATTCAATTATTAAATCTGAATACACAAATGACAGGTATGTTTATGGCCAAAATAAGAAAGTGATATGCACAGAGTAAAGACGGTGTTCACTTTTTATTTCAGTACACTTAGCATGATAGCTAATAAGCAAAAATAAAATCCAGCAAACAATTAAGCACTGTACAGTATCTTTATTAATTACTAACCTTAAAACGCCTGGCCAGGAACTTATTTTTAATTTCAAGGTAATTCCCTTTACCCATATCCATTTTGAATGGTTCATTAACTATAGCATACTTTGGGTGGTTCTGTATATCTTGCCAGCGGCCATAGCCATGACTATTACACAGTTAAGAAGGAATAAATTCAATATATGACACCGACACCATCAAATTTGACAAGTTAATACATCACTAACTTCAATATTCCACCACATTTTGGATTGTTTACCTGTGTACAATCGACAGATAATAATTTAACAGATCTTAGACACAGATGGCTATTGAAATCTTGCCAAGAGTAAACAATCAACCAGACTAGCTTTTCTTTTTCATCTTTGCGTTCACTGTTCCAAATATTAGATCAGTGAAACAATAGCTATGAAGGCCAAACATGTCGGAGGACTATTTGATATACTGTAAAGTAGTTAATTATTCACTGGGTTTTAATTTTGCTTATTTCGTTGACTGGAAAATGTGCTAAATTTAAAACCCAGTGAATATGTGAAATTTAGCATAGAACCCATTATCTAAATGATACAACCGTGAATATGCCTGAAATAGTAAATCAGTGAAATTTAAACCCAGTGAAAATTAGTCATTTTACAGTATTATGGCTATGTATTATTTATTTACACTTTATCTGATGGTCAATTTATACTTGATTTTCAAAAAATTATATATATTGACAAGCCAGAACGTTTGACTTTTCAAATTAAATTACACAATCTCTACAGTATATTTAATGCGCAATTAATATATAATAAACTCTCAAAATGATCAGACTTCTCTATGTCTTTGTGACATAACAAATACAGGTGTTGAATTCCATGCACAAGGAAACATTATAATGGGTCTAAGTTTTGTACATTATTTAATGGCATTTAATTTTTTTTGCAAGAAAATGCATGGATGAGCCACCCTAAGGTTTAAGGTTTCACCGAAATAATTCAATGTGCATGATTGTCAATGTGCATTTTTTGTCTGGCCTTACCATAAAAAATATAAAATGTGCATATTACACAGGACAACTCTTAATTAGTTTAACATTTTGTTATGTGAAGGATACGTTACAATACCAGCTAATAACCAGTAATCATGCTTTCTATGCCATATTTCATTGGCTCTATCTTGGTTAAGATTTGCTGCTCTTTCTTCATTTTGCCAAAGTGTGTGCAACTCTGTAAAACCACCATCTGCTATGTTGAACATAAACTTCAGTTTTCCACTTTTCTTTTCTTTCCTGGCTTCTGTAATAAAAGAAAAACAAAAGTGTTAAAAGTAATAGTGTACCAAAAGCTTCTGATGTTCAACCAAAGGAAGGCTTATAACTCAAAACTAATGTGTGTGGCACAACGATCACTATGCTATTGGTGAGCCTCCTGGCTTTGATCCAAAATATTTACATTAACAGTGTTCTTCACAACTGTACCAAAAGACAAGGAATGTGACAATCACAAACTTCTGTATATTAAATTGTGACAGTTGAGATTCTTTCTCAAAAACATTTTAATTCTTCAGGATTTAAAATTTTACCTCTTCTCTCTAGCTTCTCCTGTTTCAAACTCTTTTCTTTCTCTTTCTCATCCTTAACCTCTTCCTTCACTTTCTCGTCTTTTGGTTTATCCTCTTTCACTTCTCCATCCTTTTGTTCATCTTTTTTAACATCCTCTTTTCCTTCCATGTCTTTTTCTTTCTCAACCTCTTCATCTTTTTCTTCTTTTTCAACAGTTTTCTCCTCGCCCTCCTTTTCTTTCTCCTCTGCATTGTCCTTTTTCTTCGTTTCGGCATCTGTTTCAATGGACTCCCCTTTCTCTTTAATGATTTCATTCTCTTTCTGCTCCTTATCATCTTTAACCTCTTCAATGCCAACCTCCATTTTCTCAACACTTTCAACTTTTTCCTCTTTCTCACTAATCTTCTCAGACTCATCTATTTTCTCCTCTTTTTCTTCCACTTTCTTCTCTTCAACATCATCTTTAATTTCATCTTTTTTGTCATCTGTCTTTTCCCCTTCTTCATCGTTTTTGGTTGCTTCAACCTCTTTCTTCTCAACAGACTCCTCCGTTACTTTCTTCACATCAGCATCAACAACATCTTTCACAGGCTTCATGACCTCAGTAATGTCCACACTTTTGGTCTCTTCAGCTTTGATTTGTTTTTCAAGTATAGCTAAAGGAGAATCTCTAGCCTTCGCAATTGTTAATGGGGATGAATTTCTAGATGTTTTCCTAGAATCCGGCTTCATTACAGCTTTGACCATGGACTCCAGTTCCGGAATACTCCACTTTCCATTGATGGGTTCAAATTCCTGCACCTAAAACGCACAACACAGATAATCAGAATTCAGTCACTTAAACTTCAAGTACAAATAAGTACACATAATTTAACCCTTTCAACGTCAAACCTTTTCCAGAGATAATTTTGACACAATATTTTTCATAAATTTCTCTTAATTTTTGAACACCTTCCATTGCATTTTGGTTTTAAACATTCGAAAAATTTGCTCATTGCACAATAGACGATAAAAAAGCCGTCACTGAGAACTATCATTCATTTACTATTACTTAGAATGCTATTAGTGAAGTAGACAACTAGTCTCAATTTTGTGGGTAAGCTTTAGCTACTATAAAATACTATGTTTTTACTATTTTTGATGAAGAAATGATTCCATGAAAATAAAATCCAGCGAATGTACGCTTTTTTTCTATATTTTACACTCAACTCGTCAGAAATCAGTGCAAATAAATTCCATATAAAACACCCAGGTCTTTTCAGCAAAAAATTATTCCAACTAAAATAAGGTACTAGTATTTTAAATTTTACAGTATATTTCATAGTATATATATATATATATATTTATTTATTTCATAGTATGTTGCATAGTCAGAAAGCCACTTTTTAGGGGTTAGAAAGTACCAAGATATGTGACCTTTTATATGTATCATAAATACCAGGATGTGTGACCCTTTATGGATCAGAAAGTTCAAGGATGTTTAACATTTTATGGATCAGAAGAATGTGTAACATTTTATGGATCAGAAGGATGTGTGACCTTTTATGGATCGTTATAATTACCTTCTTCCTGATGAGACTCATAACACCAATACGGGTTAGAACATGTTGTCTGGAGAGACCCTCGCGTGGCACACCATCCGCAAATGTTTCAGCACCATCGGCGCCAGGTTCACACAAATGACGCATAAATAGTGACACATATGCTCTGAAAAAACAACAGAATACACTAATAAGCACACAACCATAGGGTACTTGGCTAATATTTTTAAACTGAGCTGAAACTGAAAGGCACTGAGCTATATTAAGCCAAATATGACCTTTGTAGCATCAAATAAATGTACAGTAGCTTAAATTTTAGGATGTACCATATTTCTCTATTAGTAAAGCATGTGTCATACGTCATATTTGAATGATCCAATAGATGCTATTTTTGGTCTGCATGCTCTTCTAATAGACCACATATGGTACCATGTTATAAAGCACCAAGACCAACAAATCTATTTTTATTCTATGCTATTTTCATAAATATACTCCATTGGGTATGACATACTAACATACTTTTATTCTTATTGTACGTTATTTTCACTTGAAGTTATTTTCGGTGAAAATAAAAAATTTACATTCAACTCACTCATCAAAATTTACTTACTTGAAATGTTTTTCAGGTTTCCCTCTTAGATCTCTCACTAACCACTGTGAGTTGTAAGGATCTTGTGGGGGCATACCCCATCGCATTATAGCATTCAGGAAAGCCTTGCGTTGACGAGCATTGAAACCAAGTACCTAGATTGATTGATATCAGTAAATAAACAAATCTTCACATGAATGAACACACCACACCCCCTTCTGCACTGTATTTTATTCACATAATTTTACCATCACAAACAAATTTGAATGACATATTACTTAAGTACCACATCAGGGAGTTGAGTTGTCTTAAATTTAGCTTCAGACATTTTTGTCATAATGACATCTAGTGTAATAATATATTTCTAATATTGCCATATTTCTTTGGGTGTAAAACAGTAAATTTAACAGTAAACACAGGCTTTTTGTAAAAATCTTAAGTCAAAATGAATTCCTAAAAGTTGGATCAGGTAGTTGACTGCTGGGGAAGAAAGTCGATTTTGTTTCTATTGGGTCAATGACTGTCAAGCAATGAGCATAACATTAACAATCATTGTGGCAAGGATGGCATACTAATTAATATGGCTTTTTTCATTGCAGTAGTAATAGTTTGAAATCTCATTCATTATACCTCGATGCCTGTATTCATTAGAATCCTAAGCCAGTACATTTACTTTCAGATAGTTCTATTTTTCATTTTTTTGTCTTAATCATCTTTTCTGAGTAACCCACCTACACAGACAAACCAACAAATGCTGCATTGACTTTCCATGAATACATATTCAACTCGTCTCTGAGGCTAGTGATCAACTGTAATATCACGCCTTTAATGGTGTGAGCAACTCTTTTGCTACACCATCCTAAATGTGACATCTTGATCTATGTCCTGACAACTGAACTATGTACACAGCACTCAGTGTACATAGTTAGTCAAGGACAATATATTTAGGCTATGATGATTATGATGGTGGCTCTTAATTCTAGATTAGATTCTAGATTTCTAATTATGTGCTTTAAAAAACAGACACATCCACCATAGCAAGTATCTGCTGCCTCGCCTGAACTTTTGGATACAATTTATCCAATCGTATAATTTACCTCAATATTTCCACCAACCCTAGCCAATAAAGGGGGTAATCTATCTCTATCTTTCTCAGATGCTGGTCTTCTACCTCTTCTTGTTTCTGGTTTGTCATCAAAATCATCATCATCCTCCTCTTCATCAGTATGAGCTGAAAAGTCACTCTGATAATCACTCAGGTTATCTTGCCAAGCTGAAAATAAACATTCAGTGGAGCATGCGCTAAGAAGTCACTGATAGTTACAAAGAATGTCATGCTTGGAGAAGGGAAGGGGGGAATTTAGACGACAAGTAAACCATGCAAGAAGCTATTACAAATTGGATAACTATGGAAAATTGATTAAACTATCCCAGATTGTAGTAGTTATCCCAGATTGTAAATTTAGGAGATAATCTCTTGAACATTTACAGACGAACTAAGATATTCCATTGATCAAAATTGAAATTATCTGTGATTAAATTACATGTACAATGTATATATATATATATTAAATTAGAGTGGTATCCCAAGCCTACCATCGTTATCCTGGTGTGCGTCATTATAGTTGACTTGTTTGCGGACACGTTTTCCTTTACCAAGTGTCCTAGCAAGGTCCTCTTGTTGCTGTTCATAATGA